TGATTTTAATTGTAGCTCCTGAAGCAAAATTTTTAATTTGAACACTTTGTTTTCTGATTCTACCCAATACCTTCAGCAGGACGGTTCTGACCCTGTAACTCTTTTTGTTGTTGTTGTTGTTGAGACAGAGTCTCACTCTGTTGCCCAGGCTGGAGTGCAGTGGCACGATCTTGGCAGAGGACATTTGTTTCCTAAACACCTATGAGCTTTGTGAACTTCCTTTAAGTTTCTCGGTTTTTTTGTTTTGTTTTTTGTTCTTGTTTTTGTTTTTTGACAGTCTCGTTCTATAGCCCAGGCTGGAGTGCTGTGGCGTGATCTCGGCTCACTGCAACCTCCGTCTCCTGGGTTCAAGGAATTCTCCTGCCTCAGCCTCCCGAGTAGCTGGGATTACAGGCACCTGCCACCACACCTGGCTAATTTTTGTATTTTTAGTAGAGATGGGGTTTCACCATGTTGGCCAGGCTGGTCTCAAACTCCTGACCTCAGGTGATCCACCTGCCTCGGCCTCCCAAAGTGCTGGGATTATAGGCATGAGCCACTGTGCCCAGGCATATACTCACTGTTTTCTTGACCATTCATGAACATGTGAACAGCAGGGAAGAACTGGAGTTGTTCAATGCCCTCGTGCCCTGCTGAGGTTGAACAAGGCGATGCACCACCTTCTTGTCTCAGCTTTCAGTGTATACAAGTGTCCTTCAGGCTGGGCACGGTGGCTCACACCTGTGATCCCAGCACTTTGGGATGCCGAGGCGGCGGATCACCTGAGGTCAGGAATTCAAGACCAGCCTGACCAACATGGAGAAACCTTATCTTTACTACAAAATACAAAATTAGCCGGGCGTGGTGGCGGGCACCTGTAATCCCAGCTACTTGGAAGGCGGAGGCAGGAGAATCACTTGAACTTTGGAGGCGGAGGTTGCAGTGAACCGAGATCTCACCACTGCACTCCAGCCCGGGCAACAAGAGTGAAATTCTGTCTCAAAACCAACCAACCAACAAACAAAACAAACACACACACACACGAAAACAAAACAAAAAATAAACAAGCGTCCTTCTTGCGATCTATTTAGTCTCATGTTTTTCCCATTTTTGTATTTTTTGTTGGTGGTGTCACTGTTTAAATGACCCCCAAGCGTAATCCTAATGCAAGGGGTTACGGCGCACCTTATGGGGAAAATCTGTGGATTAGAGAAGCTTCATTCAGGCATGCGTTCAGCCCTGTTGGTCTTGAGTTCCGTGCTAATGAATCAGCGTTATGTATTAAATAAAACATCCTTAAACAGAAACACATATAAAGGAAGGTTACTTATTAGTCATTAACAAAAACGTTGTGACCAGAGCCTCTCAAGAAACTAACCTTCTATTTCCCCTAGAAGCACCAGCTTAGTATTCACTAATTCGGTGTACGTGGCTACTTTCTAGAACACACTTACCACATATAGCAAGAATTGACTGCATCATCTTATTTTAGATTCACAAAGACCTATGAAACTTCGACCTCCACTTCACAGATGAGAAAACTGAGCCTTGGAGAGATAAAGAAAATTGCCCATCATCAACGATGCAGCCTGGATAGCAAACATAGCCTTTGTCCTCTTGCTCAAAACCCCGTCTCTAGTAAAAAATACAAAAAAATAGCCGGGCGAGGTGGCGGGCGTCTGTAGTCCCAGCTACTCGGGAGGCTGAGGCAGGAGAATGGCGTAAACCCGGGAGGCGGAGCTTGCAGTGAGCCGAGATCCGGCCACTGCACTCCAGCCTGGGCGACAGAACGAGACTCCGTCTCAAAAAAAAAAAAAAAAAAAAAAGAAAGGCCAGGCGTGGTGGCTCCTGCCTGTAATCCCAGCACTTTGGGAGGCCGAGGGGAGGTGGATCACTTGAGGTCAGGAGTTCGAGACCAGCCGGCCAAATCCTGTCTCTACTAAAAATACAAAAATTAGCAGCTGGGCGTGGTGGTGTGTGCATATAGTCGGCTACTTGAGAAGGCTTGAGGCAAAATCCCTGTCTCTACTAAAAATACAAAAATTAGCTGGGCGTGGTGGTGTGTGCATATAGTCCCGGCTACTTGAGAGGCTGAGGCAGGACAATCGCTTGAACCCAGGAGGTGGAGGTTGCAGTGAGCCGAGATCACGCCACAGCACTCTAGCCTGGGCTATAGAACGAGACTCTGTCAAAAAACAAAAACAAGAACAAAAAACAAAACAAAAAAACCGAAAAACTTAAAGGAAGTTCACAAAGCTCATAGGTGTTTAGGAAACAAATGTCCTCTGCCATGTTAAAAAAAAAAAAAAAAAAAAAAAAAAAAAAAAGAGGCCGGGAGTGGTGGCTCACGCCTGTAATCCCAGCACTTTGGGAGAAAAGGGCAGGGGGATCACGAGGTCAGGAGATCGAGACCATCCTGGCTAACACGGTGAAACCCCGTCTCTACTAAAAATACAAAACATTAGCTGGGTGTGGTGGCGGCGCCTGTAGTCCCAGCTACTCGGGAGGCTGAGGCAGGAGAATGGCGTGAACCTGGGGGGGCGGAGCTTGCAGTGAGCCGAGATCGCACCACTGCACTCCAGCCTGGAGGGGCACAAAGCAAGACTCCGTCTCAAAAAAAAAAAAAAGAAAAAAAAGAAAAAAAAAGTATACTGGCAGCTGGAGTAGGAGACAACCTGCAGGGGAAGTCCCTGAGCATACTATTATCTTCTTGGAATGTAGGAATGGGGTCGATCAAGGGGACTCAAGCTGGGGTCACCGGAGAGTTTTAGAAGGTGTGATGCCTGGGCACCACCCTAGGACTTTCTGAATGAATTGAGATGGGCAGCATACTGGTTATAGAGAATTTTTAAAGTTCTACAGTGGAGTGGAACCTAGATCAAAGTTCAGAAGCACTGGGGCCAAGCACGGTGGCTCATGCCTGTAATCCCAGCCCTTTGGGAGGCCGAGGCGGGCAGATCACTTGAGGTCAGGATTTCGAGACCAGCCTGGGCAACATGGTGAAACCCTGTGTCTACTAAAAGTACAAAAAATTAGCCTGGCACGGTGGTGCACCCCTGTAATCCCAGCAACTTTGCTTTCTACTTGGGCTTGACCAATGGGAGGCACTGGCAGGAGATTAGAGGGAAGAAGGTTGAGGTATTAATTCCCTTGACTCCCATGGATTGGTCACTTCCGCAACCTTTTTCCCTCTCTTTCTCTCTCTCTTTTTGTTTTTGTTTTTGTTTTTGTTTTTTGAGACGGGGTTTTGCTTTTGTCGCCCAGGCTGGAGTGCAATGGCACCATTTCGACTCAATGCAACCTCCACCTCCCGGGTTCAAGCAATTCTCCTGCCTCAGCTCCCGAGTAGCTGGGATTATAGATGCCTGCCACCACGGCTGGCTAATTTTTGTATTTTTAGTACAGACGGGGTTTCACCATGTTGGCCAGGCTGGTCTCAAACTCCTGACCTCAGGTGGATCCTCCTGCCTCAGCTTCCCAAAGTGCTGGGATTACAGGCGTGAGCCACTGTGCCCCGCCTCTCTCTCTGTCTTTTCTACCCGATCTTCTCTCCTCCCTCCCTCCCATTCTCTCCTATTCTGTCTCTCGCTTACTCTCCATCTCTGTCCTTTTTCTTCCTCCCTTGTTCTCCCACGCTCTCCATTCCAGGAATTTCTCTTCCCCTTACTGTTCAGGTATTGCTCTTACTATCCCTGAATACTGCACTATTATCTGTAGTTTCCAGTTTCCTCTAACTACCCAATTTGAGCGTGCCGTAAGCTTCCCGACTGACACGTTAACCTCAACCAAGCCCCCTACACTAGCCAGACATCTTCCGATATGTCTCTGGTCACGTCACTCTCCACTCTCTTCAATGACCATGACACACCTACCCCACTATACCCATCCCTCTATTATCAGAAGATTGCTTTTCCTACTACTTTCCTGAGAAAATACAATAAAAATACTCTCTCACATACGAATCCCCTCAAATTTATGAGTCTGCTTATATCTGCACACACTCACTTTTTCTTATACCTTGTAGCAATGGAAGATCTGTTTCTACTGAAGGTGATTCCACTTCCTCCTCCTGGACTCGTCCCATCTCTTCCTACTTTCTCAGAGCCTTCTATCAGATAGTTCCTCTCTACTATTCTTTGTTATTTTCTTTCATTTTTTGTTTTCTTTTGAGATGAGGTCTTGCTATGTTGCCCAGGCTAGTCTTGAACTCCAGGGCTCAAGCAATCCTCCTGCCTCTGCCTCCCAAAGTGCTGGGATTACAGGCATCAGCCACCACTCTTGGCTTCCGTAATCAAATTGGATTCTATCCAGATCCTGCTTACTGAACGATGCTCTGTGGCTTCTCTTTGGACCTAGCCAATTCTCAAGTGCTGGCATGCCCACTGCCTGGCTCCCAGGGCACCCACCATGGACCAACCCCAGTGGCCTTCCCTCACTTTGTACCATGCACCCAGTTTTGTTGCCCTTGTTCGTGTGGTTCATATCTGACCTTTTTTAAACCTCACTCTGATACTTTCCCTCCACACCTGTATTCCTACCTCAGGTATCACCTCAGTTATCATATTTTTTTTCTGTTTTAAAAATATTCTTTATTAAGGTCATGCATTTTTAATACATGTTAGTTTTTAGAGCAGTTTTAAGTCACAGAAAAATTGAGTAGTAGGTACAAAAATTTCCCATGTACACGTAGCCTCCGTGTTATCAATATCCTCCACCAGACTGGAACATTGGTTACAACTGATGAATCTACATTGACACATCACTATCACCCAAAGTCCGTATGCTTACTTTACTTCATTTATTTTATTTTAGAGGTGGGTCTCCCTTTCATCACAGCTCACTGCAACCTTGAACTGTTGAACTCAGGTGATCCTCCTGCCTCAACTTCCTGAGTAGCTGAGACTACAAGTGTGTGCCACCATGCCTAGTTAATTAAAAAAAATTTTTTTTTTAGAAACGAGGTCTTGCTATATTGGTCCAGGTTGGTCTTGAACTCCTGGCCTCAAGCAGTCCTTCCTTTTCAGCCTCCCAAAGAGCTGGGATTATAGGCATGAGCCACCACGCCTAGCCCATAGACTTAATTTTTAAAAGAGACTAATTTTACACAGTTAGCAATTAAAGTGCTGAGGCTAAACTACAGATTTCCATATTAAAACCCCATAATCCTTAATCAAAAACCTCTAGTTATTTAGTTAGATCACCTTCAACTCACATCCCAGAAAATAAAAAATAAAAAATAAAAAAAGCCCCTCTCTAATGAGAAAGGGTTCTTCTCTGCCAACAAAAACCATAGGTTCTTTCCAAGGAGAACGATTAAACGTCTTCATCCCCCTCCCCTGGTAAATCTCGCCATCATTCACAGTATTTCCAAATTCGGTCCTTGTTAAAATTCTTGGTCAGTGAACACCATTTTTTCCCAAATGCTTCCCCATGGTCAGTACAATCCCAGTAGATCAAGCGTCTGTACCAGAAGGGAAACACACAGCTTGCAAAATCTGCAGAAGAGAAAGAGGAAGAAGCAGTCTGAGTAAGAAACCTTTCTAATTTGCACCCCCTCCACCACACCATGCACACACATGCACACACGTGCACACACGCGCACACATGCGTGTGCGTGCACGTGAAAAAACATGCACGCACACACATGCACACTCACACAGACATACATGTATGCACACATGTGCGCGCGCACACACACACACGCAAATACACACTTTTGCTTCCTATTCAGTATCATCTGCTGTGCCCTATTTCACCAAAGGCACATGGGAACAATATTGGCGGGGGATTCAGATCCCATATTACTTAGATGTTCTACCAAAAGGATTCTTTTCAAAATAATGTGGTCGAAATGCTCATCTCTTTGGCGCAATGTGATTTTTATATCGTAAGAAATTGAACATCCTTTATTTGCACAATTTAATTGGCTATGGATTCTATTTTCAGAACCCTCTTGTGCTTCTCCCCAGATCCCAGCCTCAGAGACCAAGATTACTGCTCTGAGGTATTTAGAGGCAGGACACTCACCTTCGGCAGAGCAATACTTCCAGTATCCTTCGTAAGTCTCATTTAACGAGCACCACCTGTGTCTTGACTTGGACTTGATGCAGTCATAGTAGGTTCCATTTTTATAGTGGAATGGAAAGGCACACTCCCCATCTAGAGAAAACAAAATTCTTCCTCTGTTTCCGGGTGTGTTGAGAGAGAGGTTATCAAGTGACTGTCTTCCTAGGGGCTGCTGCCCTTTGAAATCAGAGTCATTGGCTGTGACTGTAGTAAATGTCATTGTGCCGCTCAATAGCAGAGCTTTGGCTCTCTAATGACAAAGCTCTTTTGTTTTATATTGCTGCCCCTGCCCTACTTTTTTCCCAGATATAAACAGTCTCAAAATTTGGCTTAGCATTTGCTCCAGTTTCAGAAATCTCCCGTAAGCATAGAAATATAAATGTGGGCATTTATCTACCAAACAATTCTTCCCCCCTGCCCCTGGATCTCTTATTTTCACCTCCTTCCATCATCTCTCTTTCTCGCCTTCTCCCATACAACTATACATGTGTGTATGTGTGTCTCCTGGGTATATATATGTTGTATGGTTATACATATATACTTATATATGTTATATTGTTTTGTATATGTGCTGTATGGTTAATACAGGATATATACAGTTATATGTGCATACACACAGGCACACATGCATGATTTTTTGCCACCCTTCAAAATTAATCATATTGTATAATTGAGTTTCCAACTTAACACATCACAGAAATCTTCTTAAAGTGATTGTGTCGCTCTAACTTCTTCATGGCTCACTGCAGCCTCATTCTCCTGAGCTCAAGCGATCCTCCCACCTCAACCTCCAGAGTAGGCTGGGACTACAGGTGCATGCTACCATGCCCAGCTAATCTTTAAATTTTTTGTAGAGATGAGATCTCACTATGTTGGCCAGGGTGGCCTCAAACTCCTGAGCTCAAGCATCCTCCTGCCTCAGCTTCCAAAAATGTTGGGATTACAGGCATGAGCCACTGAGTCAGGCCTTAACTTCTTTCTAATGCTGATTCATGTTCTGTGGTACGGATTCACCACAATTCATTCAGTGTTTCCACGTTCAGATTTTTCCCACTGTAAATACAGCTGCAGTAAACATTTCACGCATTTAAATCCTTATGTACTGAAGCGTTTGTTTCTATAGAATCTCCAAAGCAAGGTTACAAGGACAAAGTGTATATACAATTTTAACATTGATGAATATTGCTTTGTCAAAGAAAATGACAATTAGTCTTTCCCACAAATGGTGCTCCTTTACCTGAATTTTCATTAGCATGAAGCATTTACACACTTTAAAAATGTTTACCTGTATTACAGATGATTTCTGCCTTGCTTTAAAAGATCTGCTGGTCCTTAGGCCACATGTATATTTTCCATTTTCTTCTTAAATTAAACAATTTTGTTCCTTTTACATTTAAAATTTGATTAAGCTAGAATTTAGTTTTGTATATGATGCAAAAGGGCAATGCAACTTTATTTTCTTTCAAACACATTTAGTAATGACAGATTGATGATGAAATAAACCACCTGTACATTTAAATGGTCATGCTTAAAACCATGGATTATTCTAATATATCCTGGGATCCATTCTATATTTGCTCTAAAGTTTCTTGAAATTACTAGAGAGGTAAGGAAGCATGGTGGTAAAATGAGCAGACTCTGGAGACAGCAAGTATCACAAAATATTTCTTCCTTTCTTCTCTCCTCTTCCTCCTCCTTCTTCTTTTTCCTCTTCTTCTTCCTTCCTCCCTCCTCCTCTATCTCCTCCTCCTCCTCTTCCTTCTATCTTTCTAGGCTGATTCCATGTTGTTTATATTACAGTATTTTAGTATGTCTAAATATCTGATGAGACGAAATATTTCTCTACTCCAGCACTTTGTTCATAATATTTCTAATTATTATTGGATGTTTTTTCTATATAAATTTTAAAATCTGTTATTTCTTGTTCGATTGGCAGAAATTAAAGAGTAGACACATTTAGTGCTGATGAAAGATCAGAGTGACTTCTATACCTCTCTTTTCTTTATCTGTTTACAAGGCACTTATATTACATTTTATATAAGAAGAAAATATTATTTTTTTTACTGGAAAAACATTACTGATTCCCCCATTTTTACAAAATTAAAAGAAAATATACATTAATAATCAAAGTTTTCTGATCAACTTACCTTCAATTTCTGGAAAATGACTTATAGTTTCTGAAAAATAAAATTTAGAGCTGACATTTATTCCACTATTATTAGGCTTTAAAATGTGCTCTTATGTAAAATAAAATTAAATAAAAATATTAGTTTGGGAAAGAGTGATATTGTTATGGTATTATGTTTTCCATCCAAGAACATGGCAATATCTCTTTTTCAAAATATATTTTTTTGCTCTTCAATATGATTTTCTTATTTGTTCTATATAAATCCTACACATTTCTCACTGATTTAATTCCAAAGTGCTTTTTTTTTGGTCACTGATGTTAAACAGAATGTTTTCCGTTTCCATCAATATCCAGTTGGTTCTTACCAGTATAGAGAAAAACTATTGACTGGTGTATGTTTATCTTGTATCCAGCCACATAGCCATATTACTTTATTAAAACTAATAATTTTTATTCATGTTCTTAGGGATTTAAAGTATACAATCATAAAATAATTTTGCCTGTTATTTTATATAGATTTTTTCCTTTTTACAATATCACTTATGTTAGAACCTAAAATAGTGTTAACGTAACACCCCTGTGCTTTCCTAGTTTTAATTGGAATGACACTTAGATTAAGAATGTTTATTTCAGCATGGTTAGTATTAGTTTAAAAAATAAGAATTAATTAAAAATATTAATCCCTGAGAGAATTTTAAAATGAAATTGACTTTATAATATCAAGTAGGCATTAATAAAGATGAGCACATAAATAGATATGGAAAAATTTGTACTTCATTTTTAGGTGGCAAAAGGCATTTTCTATTTCATTATTTTCCATAATACTTGATTTTTGCTAAAAATCACATTATGAAGTTACATGTAATGAAATGTTTAATCACCCAAAAGTAAAATTAACAGTAAAATTATGATTTATCACTTTTTCTTCCTTTTTTTTTTTTTGAGACGGAGTATCACTCTGTCGCCCAGGCTGGAGTTGGGTGGCGCGATCTCGGCTCACTGCAAGCTCCGTCTCCCAGGTTCAGGCCATTCTCCTGCCTCAGCCTCCCAGGTAGCTGGGACTACAAGTGCCTGCCACCACGCCCAGCTAATTTTTTGTAGTTTTTTAGTAGAGACGGAGTTTCACCATGTTAGCCAGGATGGTCTTGATCTCCTGACCTCATGGTCTTCCCGCCTCAGCCTCCCAAAGTGCTGGGATTCTTCTTTTTTCTTAACATTTTTAACATGGAATTTGCTTAAATATAAGTACATAAAATAGTAATCTTTAATGAAAAATATGATTTCTTACCAGGAAAGGGAATATTCAATGGTTTCACGTTTTATTGCAAAACTTTTAAAAGAAACCCCAATAAAAGTTTTTTGATCAACTTACCCACAGTTGATGACAATTCATCTGAAAGACACAATTTTGAACAAATATTTATGTCACTTTAAAATAAAAGAAATGAAAAGATTTCACTAATTTCTATTCTAGTAAGAATAATACTATTTTGAAAGTTAGGCAAAACTAAGTTAACTAAGTTAACTTTGGTTCAATAGAGCTTATTTTTGGTAGTGTGATTGTGGGTGATTTCTTATTTTTCTTTTGCTTTAACTGTATTTTTCAAATATTATTAAAGGATAGGAATGATTAAAATTATTCTTAAAACAAAAAATTCAGCAGGCAAAGGAAATTATTTACTTTTCTCACATTTTTCTATAAAATAAACGACTTCATCATAGGTTTCTGATATGGAACACTATAGGTTTTTATTTTTGTCACCACTTCTCACTGAATACCTGAATTCTACTATTAGAGATTCATGTCCTTAGAGTTATCACTTTCAAAATGGAAACTTCTTCCTCTAGGAGGGAAAAATAAGAATGATACCTCTGAGGTATGTAGGAAATGCAAATAAATGCTCTGAGCATCTTCTCTATCCTGCGTACTATATTTTATTTAACTTATCAGAACAATTTTGTGAGGCCAGCATTGTTTCCATCATCTTAGAGACAAAGTTCAGAAATGTTAAGTTCCATTAAATTAAAAAAGTTAAGCATATGGCAATTCAATTCGAATCCTCCCTGGAGAGGTTGGTTCAGTAGGAAGTAACAGCCCAAACCCTGACACAGGCTCAACCACTTACCAACCATCTGCCCTCAGCTTACTCTGCTATAAAATGGAGAGAGAACATTAGGATGTCAAGTCCTCCCCAGTCTGAATACCCTAATATTCTTGGAACGAAGAAAATTGCCTGATAGCTTTACTTTTTTTTTTTTTTCTTAAAGCAGCATTTTTCAATCATTGTTCCTTCATGAGCCATTAAACCTGTAATATTTACCTCCCCCTCCTTAGAACTTGAATTTTTTGTTTTGTCACTTTGCATGGTTCCTGATGAAGTGGTTTTATGCAACGGCTATTTGATTCAAAACCAGCATGTGTTTAGTTAAATATTAAATAACTGTTACAAAGTTCATTTAATTGAGGCTTTAAGAACAGTCGTAACTTTAGGATGAAATACAACGTAGAATGAATTGTAGAATAAATACAGAGTGAAAGATTTGATTTTTTTCCCAAATAGCCCATGATAGATGATACTTAATAATCATTAAAATGATGTAAGATAGAAAAGCACAATTTACCAACAAGTAAATTTACAAATGTCATGTTTGGGTAAGAGAACATACACATACTATAATGTAATTTGCATATATCTCTCATATTAAAGCATTATAACTCAACATAATCTGTGTTCATAACTAGTTCATCAAATTTGTAGATTACACTTAAAAGAGCAATGACTTAATTTTTTTATTTTTTGAAAAGATTTTTGCAAAAGCAATGATTTTAATTCTGAATTTGTTGTGTATATTTTATTTATTACTGATTATTTTGCTATTTGCTCATGTTTATTCTTTCCACAGGTTTGTTTTTCAGCTAAATTGTCCTGGCTGCCATTGTGGCTTGAAATTAAAACGTTTTTCCTTAGGCATATATTATTTAAGAAATAGTTATAATGGACCAGCACAATGGTTCACAAGCTTTGTTGCATATTAGAATCACCAGCTGAGTCTCCTGCCTCTGCCTCCCAAGTAGCTGGGACTACAGGTATGCACCACCACACCTGGCTAATTCTTGTATTTTTGGTAGAGACAGGGTTTTGCCATGTTGGCCAGGCTGGACCCAAACTCCTGACCTCAGGTGATCCACCCGTCTTGGCCTCCCAAAGTGCTGGGATTACAGGTGTGAGTCACCATGCCTGGCTTGAAGAAAACATATATATATACATGCACACACACATATATATATATATTTAATTTCAAAGGATTAAGAAGGGCCCCTAAAAATTAATATAGTCCTAGAATTAGTCTTAG